CCCTCCCCTCCTCTCCCCTCCCCCCTCCTTCCCGGAGCCAGACTTGGCCGATTGGCTCTCTGGAGATTAGGATTAAAATGGTCAGATCAGTTCAACAAGATCCACGCAAGCAAGCATTTTTTGAGTGCCCTTCACGTGAAAGCAGTCTGTTCCTGGGGTTTTAGATGGCACCGCTGTCTTCCTCTCTTTCAGTTTGTTAGGCCGTGGTTCGTAGTCTCCGGCCTGCCTCAGTCTGTGGCCGCGGCACTGAATGTCACAGTGACTCCCCTTTCTCCTTCATAGATCCTAGAACTTCAGAAAGCCATCCTTTGTTACTTAAAATCTCCTTTACTTTCTCCAGATTTTATCACCAAATGGTTCTAAAAATCCATTTGCCCTGGTTTCTTTTTTCAAAACAAAGTGTCAGTCTTGGAACATTTGGTCTCCAGGGCATTACTTCTGTCCTTTTACCCTGCATTGTAAGGATAAGCGTTAATCGTGGTTTCTCCCTTTCATATTTCCAGTTCATTTTCTCTTCCTTCTGTGTTCCTTGTTTCTACCAATGTCTGCTGCTCGTCCAGGCCCCAGGTCCCAGGATCTGATGATGCTGTGCTGTTCCTGACAGTTTTACCTCTCAGATCGGTCTCCTCTTTCCAGTCCCTGCCACCACCCACACTCTGCCATTGCTCCTTTCTTAAATTTCAGTCCAACAGAAATGCACTGGCACCTCCGTCTTACACGGCGCTAGGGAGACAGAGATGAATAAGGCAGGCTTCTCTGCCTCGTTTCGGTAACCCATTACCTGATCTTTCCCCCCTCCTCCATCTAACGAGATATTGCCGTATTCATCTTCCTCAGGCCCAGCCCTTGCACTGGCTACAGAATGAGACTCCTTCCACTAGCACTGGAGGCCGCCCAGGATCTCATTGCTCCACCTGTCCTGCGCTCTGGCCAGATTGAACCACTGGCTGTCCTCCCGATAAGCTCGCTCTCTCCTGATTCCATTCTGTTACTTCCTGAGAGTGTCCACTCTTGTCTCCCCATGGCCGCATCCTGCCTTTCAAGATTTGGTTCATAGATCACCTTCCTCTGCATCAACTAGTGGGAAAAAAGCATCCTCTCTCCTGAACTCTGTTCCCTTTTGTGACATAAGAGGTCCCCTGGGTGGTGGTTAAGAGCATAGACTCCAGAGCCAGGATGCTTTAGTTTGAATTACAACTCGGCTGATTACTAGCTGTGTGACCTTGGCAAGTTACTTAACCTCTCTGTGCCTCAGTTGCTTCCTATATAAAATGAGAATTGTAATACCCACCTCATGGAGTTTTGAGAATTGAATGGGTGAATATACGTGAAGCGCTTAGCACAGTGAGTAGTGTTAATGCACAGAAGCTTTATGTAACGATTAGCCATCGTGATGTAAAAGCATATACATAAGCCTGTGGGTGTTACCTGTTGTGATGTGTTTATTGAGAGCAAGGTCTATATTTGTTCATATCTGTAGCCCAAACATTAACAGGGTAATCCGTGCTGTCTCTTGGGCATATACTGTGGACAGGGTCCTGTACTTGCCCCTATGTAATATTTATAGCAAAAATAAGATTTTAGCCTTTAACTTTTGTCCATACCTTTTCAGTAACCTTTGAAACAGAATACAAAATCATTTACAATGGGTGCCTGGGTGGCTCAGTTGGTTAAGTGTCTGACTCTTGATTTCTGCTCGGGTCATGATCTCAGGGTCATGAGACTGAGCCCTGCGTCGGGCTCCAAGTTCAGTGGCAGGTCCGCTCGGGATTCTCTCTCTCCCTCTGCCCACCCTCCTCCCCCTGCACATGTGTGCATGCACTCTCTCTCTCTCTCAAAAAATCTTTAAAAAAAATTATTTACACTGTTCTCTCTCTTCTCTGTCCTCAGGAAGCATCTAACTGCATATTAAAGTAATAGGCACGGTGTCAATGGTATTTTGTAATTTTGAACTTGCCCCTTTATGCTGATCAACCAAATAATTAAAAAAAAAATTCTCCTTTGAATTTCTGAACCAGTAAATACACTTACTACCCATTTTTTTCCTCCTTTTTCCTTGAAATAAATTGACTAATCCAGACCTATACCTAACTTGGTGTCCTTTAATTGAATCTAATATTTTGGTAAATTGAGGTCTGTAATAAAATTATCCCTCTGTAACTCATAAAGGAAATAAAATTAAAGTTTGATGAATTTCTATATGCATGTCCTATGAGAATAAGTTTTTTTGGAATTTATTTGCCAGATGGTCAACCTTTTCAAAGCAGTAATAATTTTGTTATTGTGATACTTAATTTGGGGCTATGTCACCAGCAAGCCTTCATTACTTCTGATGAATGTGTTTCAAATGCCCATTATGTAGGTGGTGCTGTTTTTAAATTCTCACAGAAAAATAAGAGTCTGAACTCTCTTTCAAGTTGCTCCATCTCCTCATCTGTCATGTCCTAAACTTCATGTGCCGTCTTTGGGCGACACCTGAGCATCTGTCCTTCCACACCTGTGCCTGCCATGTTCGGGACCCTAGGCTCTCCTCTTTCCCTCCTCAGCCAGTCCTCGTCGCCTAGTAAATCTTCCTTGGATCTGCTCTGCCTCCTCCCCACTGACCTGGCCTCGGCCCAGAGTCCCTTCGCCTCTTCCCTTGTGACTGAGAGCACCCAGGTTCTGCTTCCACCCATCTGCCCCCATGCCAAATGCAGACTCTGTTTAACATCCTCCAGTGGCTATGTCAGCCGTCCCCGACTTCTGTACCTCGAGGGCTCCTCTCCAATTGATAGTGCAGTATTTGTATGATCGTTGTATTTTGGGGAAACCTATTGATACTGGAGAAATAGCTGTTGCAGATTCAGTACAATTTTAAATAAATGTATATTTATCATAATAGCATCTACATTCCCTTGAAAACTAGAGTAACATATGCTAGACGTTCACTGTGGAGACGCTGACCATGTGCGGGTGGCATGCTGCCCCTCGCAGTGGTGCGAAGCCCCGAGAGCTCCACGGCCCGGATTCCCAGTGTGTAGGGAGCACCTGGTGCGCTCCTGTTTTCCCTTTCACACTCAGGATGATCCTTGTGCAGACCATATAGCGAACGGTCATTCCAACAGCGACCTGCAGAGGGGCATTTGTAGTAGGTCTTTTCCCACTGTCCTCTGTGGGGAGCATCTCCCTCTCTGCCTGCCTGGCACCTCCCCTGCATGCACTGACCTCTCTCCCCGTGAGACCCCCTGTCCACTTAAAGACCAACACCGTCCAGACAGTTCCTTGTGCCCCGTGTTTCTGTGTTGGTGCCCCCATGGTTTGGTGCCTGCCCTCTGTGGGGATCAGAAATAAGCCTTGTCCCAACTGTGGACCCCCCAACCCCTGCCACAGTGCCTGACATATGGGGGTTTAGTATAGAAGTGAATGAGTGGATGAATCACAAGGATTAAATAAGTCAATGAAATACATGTAAGGCATTGAGAGTAAGTGTCTGGTGCAGGCTAAGTGCTCGGCTACTGTTGGCGCCCCTGCTGTGTGCTGGGCACCAGTTTAGGCTTTGGGGAAACAAAGGAAAAAGGACAGAATCCCTGCTTTCCTGAAGCTTACGTGCTCCTGGGAGGAGCTTGACACCCGTATTTCAGGGAGGCCTGTAAGGAAAATGAGGCCGGGGGAGAACAGATGGCAGTGGGGTAGCAGTGTGGTCTGGACTGCCCCAGCCCCCGCGTCACAAAGCAGAGTAGAAGGGGACTTTGGGTCTCAGAGACCGCAATGTCCTATCCGGCACAGGCACTTAATCAGCGACGGTGGCCTGTGCTGGGGGCGAGCGCAGGGGCTGGTCGGGGAAGCTGGCTGTGATCGGAGATCCGAATGGGGAGGAAGCATGAGGACATCTGTTGGAAGAGCACCTGTTGGAAGACCTTCCAGGCTGCAGCAGTGTCAGGAGCACGTGGGGCTGACCCTGACAAAGCAGCCAGTGTCGTTGGGAGTGCGGGGCGGGAGGGTGAGTGTCAGGAAGTAGGTCACACGTGTCGGGTCGGGGCGGTCGGGACTTTGTATTTTATTCTCGGTGAGGATGAGGGGCTGGCAGGGCTAGTAGATGGGAGCAGAATGAGTTGAGTCCGTACATTATCTGAGGTCCCTTTTAACTTGATATTTTGTGTTTCTAAATTTCAGTTACAATGTCCAGAGTGTTTAATTTGGCTCGTTGGCATCACTGTTAATAATAGTGCTGCCACGCCTGCCCAGGTCTTAGGAAGACGAGCAGGGCACTCTAACCGGAATAGCTTGAACTTCGGGCTGCTGCGTTAGTGTAGGTGAGCACCCTCACTAGCTCAGTAACTTTGGAGTTTTCTAACTTAATATTAGGGAAAGTGAAATGTCTCTAAGAGCTCTTTCATTGTGAGTCTTGAAGACTGCTTGTCAACATTGGAAAAAATGGCAGCCTGAAACAGCTTTCCACATACATCTCAAGCGCCTCCCGATAGTAGCCCCCCACGGTTCTCTGTGCGGCACCCAGGGTGTTCTCCTCATGTTTATCTAGTTCTATCATCGTGTGCCCTGAGAGCCTTCGGTGGCTGCCCTCTCGTTCTCACAGTCGAAGCCCACGTCCCTGCTCAGGCCTGACCCCACTCCCTGCTCACGGCCTTTGTATCTTTTGGGTCTGCTATGCAGAGAGTTCTCCCACCTCCTAGCCCGGCCAGCTTCTGTAAATGTCATGTCAATAGGAAAGCTTTCCCTTCCCTTCACGCCCCATCCAGACAACATTTGTGGTCATTTGCTGCTGCTATAAAATTTTGTCCCGCGCCCCACTTTTTTTTTTTTTTTTTTTTTTAGCCATGTCATGTCTGAATATGGAAGGATGACAGACACAGAGCGAGACCAGATAGACCAGGACGCGCAGACGTTCATGAGGACCTGCTCTGAAGCAATTCAGCAGCTGAGAACTCAAGGTGAGGTGCTCTGAGAGGCACGGTCAGCCCGCCATGACTGTGAAGCCTCAGACAGGATCCATAGCACGCGCCCAGCTCAAGTTCTCTCCTGCGTTGCTATTCAGATTTTGGTTTCAAAACTTTAAAATTCCTCTTTTCTTGATCAGCTGTGAAAAGTCATGAAAAGGCCGTGATTCAAGTTAAACAGTGGGAGGAGGGAGGTGAGGAGGACCCCTCCACGCACAACCAGACATTTCCTAAGGGCCAGAGCAGACAGATTGTGTGCGCCCCTGTGCTCTGTGTGGCATTTAGAGGGTCGGTGGTCAACGGTGTGTGGACAGGCACGGGAGAGGGCGCTCTCAGCCATCTGCTTGGATAGGAAACTCCGGGAGCAGACCGTCACGCTGCAGAGGAGGGCTCTGGAGCCGTGGGTGCTTTGGTGTCCACCCCAGCTCCAGCGCATTCTACCCAGACGGCTTTGGGCAAGGCACTCAGTTGCCGTGCGCCTCAGTTTGTCTATAAAGTGGCGACAGTCACAGGGTGCATCTGTTAGGGCTGTTAGGAGAATTCAGGTGACTTCAGCACGTGCTTAGCGCCCTGGCTGTGGCACGAGGGTTGTTCGTATCACATAGTCTTCACTCATGTCCCATTCTCACCAGGGCAGTGAGACAGCTTCCCCAGTCCTGTATCTTCCTTGACCCTTTCGTAATGTGCTTAGGCAGATCCAGGTTCCATTAAATTGCACAGACCTCCAAGTGGCCAGATGCTGCTGAGTTCTTGACACCGACTCGTCTTAGGAAGCTTCCGTCATCACAGCCCTGATGGGCCACTCGGAGTCTGATGGAAGCAATAGACATTCTTGCCAGAGAAATACACATACTCACAGAATTTTGTGTACAGTCCCTCATGTGAATCTCAGGTTAAGCAGCCCAATAGGAAAAACATGATTCATGTCCCCTACCCTTAGGGGCCTAAACATTCATTGAAATAACCTAGAAGTACATGATTATGAATAAAACCAGCAACGAAGTACCAAGCCATGTGACCTTGGGCTTCTTATTGACTCTGAACCTTATTAGTTTCTCTGTGTGTAAACTAGGCCTCCAGATGGCCTTTTGCATTAGCAGTCATATATGTAAAGTACCATTGGAGTGCCTGCAGGTGGTGGGCACTCAGTCTCTCTCTAAATGGGAGCTGTCCTACCAAAATAAATGGCACAGACCTGAAGCAGATGTGATAGTTTGCAGAAGCCAGGCATCCTTAGGGCTAGGAGAGTCAGGGAAGGTTTCCTTGAGAAGGAAGGTTTGACTCTGTGTCTAAGGGGCCCTTGGAATGGGAGTAGCTGAGGGGCAAAGATGGAGCATTCCAAGCTGAAAAACAGCCCAGACAGGCAGGGGGTAGTGTGGGGCTTGAGTTTGATTTAAACATGTTACTGGAAGCTCAGCTTGAGCATTGGATGCTGTTAATACAAACGGGGTCAGCTCTCAAGAAGTGGGGCGCATCCAGTACGATCCCTGTGCCCTGTAATAAACCATAAATTATCTGACTGTGGTTTTTCTACAGGTTTAATCTTTTCCTCTTGCAAAGCCCAATAAATCTTCCTCTTTTAAAAATGTAATGTCACTTGACACAGACTTGTTTTATCGCTGTAGTTTTACAAATACTTTCCGTAAAGAAACTGTTCTGAGGAAGCTGATGAGTTGTTGCCCTGTGAAACCGAGCACAGAGACCTGACTGCTGTCCGTTTGTGTTCCAGCGCACAAGGAGATGCCCTCCCAGCAAGTGAAGGAGCACAGGAGCGTGGTTCTGGATTTCATCGAAGATTACTTAAAAAGTATTTCACTTTATCTTAAAGGTCAAATGTGGCATTTCACCATAGACATGATGCAAAATTTAGCTTTGCTAGCTGAAGACTGTAGTGTCTCCTTGTACTTAATGACACCTTTGCCTGCGAAGCGGTTTTAAATGGTCTCTGTTCTGGTGTTTTCCCTACAACAGGAGTATGTAAACTTTACTCAGAACAGAGAGCCATCCGAGTTAAACGAGTGGTGGATAAGAAAAGACTGTAAGTATTGTCTCTGCTGGGGTGCCTTAATTAATAATAGCAATGATAGCAGCTAACGTTTGTAGAGTCCTTATGCTTTGCAACATAGAGTGCTTGGATTTCTTCACAAAATGCTATAGCTAGTACTTACAGAGCCCTGACTGTTGTGCCAGGCACTGTGCTAGATTCACAACCACCTACCCTGAGGGGCAGGTACCGTTCTTATCCTCATTTTCCAGATGGGGAGGCTGCCGCTCACGAAGCTGGGTAACTCCCCCAAGGTCCCACAGCCAGGAGGTGGCAGAGCTGTGCTTTGAGCCGAGGCTGTTTGTTGGTTCAGAATCCATGCTCAGGCCTGGCTTGTGTTAGCGACCCTGTGTGGCTGGCAGTTTTAGCCATCTTACGTCTTTCTCTTTGCCCCTGGCGCCTCTCCTTGCTGTCTCTCAAAGGATTTTCCTGAGGCAGGAGCTGGAGCACAGCAACCTGTGCACCCGTGTGAGGCGTCCCTCGGCTCATCTGCAGCGTGCGCCTCCCTTCTAACAGAGCACTCGATGCCACATGCTGGTTTGCGGGTGAGGCCGTTAAAGCCCCCGGAGGTTAAAGGACTTGCACAAGGCCCCACAGCTAGGAAGCAGCAGAGCCAGACTTCAGTATCTCCCATGGCACGTGTCTGTTCCCCAGCCTGTCCTCCCCATCGGGGTGCACGCCAGCTTCTAGAGCACAGGGACTCAAAGCTGCTTCCCTTGCAGCTGCTCAGCCAGCCTGAGATAGGATTCTTAAAATGAGCAGGGAGTGCTAGGTCCAGGCTTCACCTCTGGACCACTTCTAAACTGGTCTTGGAAAGATTTTAGGGTGTTTTTTCAGAAGGTAACAGTGCGTACTACCTGGGGACAAATTTTCTCAATTCTGATTGTGTCGAGACCCCCAGCACCAGCCCCGGGTTAGGTGGTGCGCTAGGAGGACTTGCGGAGCTTGAGGCTTGGATTTGTTACAGTGAAAAGGTGCAAAGCAAACGACGGAGGGAAATGGGTGATGTGCAGAGGAAATCGTGAGCGGGCTTCCAAGAGTCCCCCTCCAGTGGAGCCACACAGGATCTGACTTGTGACAAGGTTTGAACGCCAGGGTAACGGGGCAGACTTCTCAAACAATGGGCTTTTTGTTAGGTGCAGGAAGAGGAGGGTCTGGGAAAGCGATGACAGAGGAAGAAAGCAGTCCCGGTTTGGGGAGGATTGCGGGTGGAGGGGCACCCAGAGCCGTCCTGGAGGAGAAGGGCGGGCCTCGTCACCGGTGACTTACCATCCACAAGGCGTGGTGGTCACTTGACCCCCCACCCACCAGCGGGAGAGGTGCCCATTTCTGCTCCCTCACCCAAGCGGACCTTGACACTTGAGACTTAGCAGGTACCCCAGGTAAAAGTGGGAAGAGGCTTTTGCTGCTGCCTCCTCACTTCCTGGTTCTCAGCAGAGGCTTCGACAAATTAAGATCGGTCAGATGGGAGTTGTTCTCATTTTGACAGTCGAGTACAGGCTCGTCTCCTGCCGCCTAGTTGGCCTGTGCCAATTACTTTGAGCAAAAGACCTTGAGGGAAGTAACTGTGTGACCCACACAGTGTAGTCCAGCCTCCTCCACGTGACCCGCACAGTGTAGTCCAGCCTCCTCCTGGTTCTTTCCTCACCTTGTCCCAGAAGACGACTGCCCAGAACATATATATAATTTCACCACTCCCTCGCTTCCCATGTCTTACAAAAGCTCAACTTGATGGCGTGGCATTCAAGGCCCACAGTGAGCAGATGGCAGCTGTCGTTTGTTACTCGGCACCTGTGGGTCTCTGCTCTGACCATAGGTAACTTTGTGTTCCGAAGAGGCCTTGTCCTCTGAAGCCCTCGTGCCTTAATCCTTGCTGATTTCTCTGCCCAGAATGCCCTTCATGTATCCCTGTACTTTCTGCCCCTTTTTACCCATTCCTCTGGCAAGCAAACTCCTGTTTATCCTTCCAGCCCCAGTTAAGATGTTGCTTGCTCTGTAAAGACTTCCTGGCTTCTGTGGGCCGTGCTGGTGACTCCTTTCCGTGTGGGTTCCCTGCACACTGTCATGGTTGGTGTAAGACACACGCTCCTGGAGAGCTGCAGTTGGACCCCCCGAGCCCATCATGCAGCACGTTGCCCATCCTGGTCTGGGGAAGCCGCTCACTGAGGGCTGCTGAGTGAGTGAATGAATGGGTCCCTGAAGATAAGTTGACTATAAGAGTTTTTATTGTCAAGTTGGATTTGTGGGTTCTTTGTTTTTGTACTATTTTTTTTTTAAAGAATTCCTTTTTTTTTTTTAAAGATTTTATTTATTTATTTGAGAGAGAGAGAATGAGAGATAGAGAGCACGAGAAGGAAGAGGGCCAGAGGGAGAAGCAGACTCCCCGCTGAGCAGGGAGCCCGATGTGGGACTCGATCCCGGGACTCCAGGATCATGACCTGAGCCGAAGGCAGTCGCTTAACCAACTGAGCCACCCAGGCGCCCCTATTTTGTTTTGATTAGTACTAGTTATTGATAAAAATTATTCTCATAAACCAGACTCAAGAAACCCAAGTGCTCCTGCTTTATGGCTGGGTTGCTATTATCATGTTTCTTTTGTTTTTGACAGAAGTAAAGCATATTTGTTAGTGAAGGAATTGTCTGATTGTTTATTTTAAATCTTTCATAGTATAGGAAAAAAGGTACTCTCTGCTGGTATTCATTTTCATGCAGTGGTGATAACATGCTGATCTCTCATAGCAAAGGGCGCTTATTCTAAAATGGGTGAAATGTTTTGCTCATTAAGCCAGAAGTAGTCTCAGCTGATCTTTCCGCCGTTCTCTCTGTTTTCTTAGAAAGGTAGCGCCATTGTTAAGTGTGACTTTTTTCTCCCATCCCCCTAGCAACTACTATCTGAGTTGATAGTGGCACCTGCTGCCAGTTGTCTTCAGCTGGACATAAGGGCTGGGGAGAACTTTTACTGGGGTCTCATGTCTCTTCTTTCTCCTGCTCTAAGACCGTGAATCCTTTGAAGGCAAGGTCACTGTGTCTTCCATCTCTATGGTCCCAGCACCTTGATCAGAGAGTGCCACAAAGTAGGTGTTCAGTTAATGGTTCTTGAATGAAGGAAAGAATGAGGCATGGTCACTCATTCTTGGCTCAGGTCTACACAGTAAGAGCTTATAAGTTGGAAAGGTTGTGGGCCACCACTGGACACAACATTGGCACAAGTGGCCTTGTCATCCCAAAAGGGTTTGAAATATGCCCGTTATCCTCCTAACCACCTTAAAGCACTAATATTTTGGTTATAATTGAACTATCACATGCCCTCTCGGGAATATACTCTAAAAGCCATCTGAATCAGAAACATTTTCCCTTTTCCAGAAAGTAAACCAGTTCTGTAGTATTGGCTTTTCCTTGGGGAATAGGTTTAAGGTGGCTGTCTAGAAACCAGAACAAACCTCTGTTATTCTTCTCTGCGAGTTGTCTCTGGAGGCACAATAGACTATATAGGAGTCCCGGAACAGATTTGAATGTAAAATAGTAGGCCTGTCTCTTTAAAGTGCAATTTCTTTCTTATTCAGGGGTGGGTTATCTGATCCTGTGTATACCCATGATGACCTGGCTTTAAAGTTTGCTGGTTTGGGCCCGGATTTGAACACATTACTTTCACTAGTACAAAGATATTCTTAGAGTGGGAACTTTTGTCTGTTTTCTCCCGTCTAAAGGGAGATTTGAGACGGATCAAACCTACTGCCTGAAAGATGGTGGTTTCTTCTCACATTGGGTGATATGAAACATTATGGAGGAAGGATGAGGCACCTTCTGCATTTATCCGTGTAGCTTGAAGTTAATTTCCAGAATATTAGCAGATCCTACTGTTAATTCTAATGAAGGATAACGTGAGAGTTTCCTAAGGTATCTGAGGGGATCCTAAGTACGTGTTACTCTAAAACAGTTTCCATGGTCAAACAAGTCTGAAGAACACTGAGTGTACAGTTCTCCAGGTCTGTATGTTGCCATGTGCCTTGATTATGTTTTCCCAAGCCCTGCTCGCTGTGGAGCTCTTCACCCTTGAATCACGGGCAAATGCACTTCAGGAAATACTGCCTGATCCCTTGGCTGGGTGCATGACCTTAAGTTTATTATTTACTCCCTTAAGTTGGTACAAAAGATCAAAATTTCACTGCATTTCGTTTTTCCTCCTCCTTTTTGAGAAAAGGCACGGGTGCTCTTGCAACACATACTCTCCGGATACTTAGTTGGTCCTTGCAGAGTGTACTCATATTATTATTTATGATTCGGTTCCCTCATCCTAGATTGGAAGCTTGGTGAGGGCACCATTGTGCCTTGTACATCTTAAAATTCAGCCCCTAACCCGGGCCCCTGCACACAGTAAGAGCTCAGTAAATTTTGCCAGGCACGGGGAGTGGGGGAGGATAGGGATGATGACAACAAAGATGAAGGAAGACACGAAGTGACGCGATGTGATCGGAGGTCCATAGCAGTGTTATTTTGTCGCTTTTAAAAATTTCAGATTTACCGAGGTATAAGTGACGTGACCCTGTAAGACACTGACAGTGTGCACTGTGGTGATTGAATACACGGGCACGTTGTGCAACAGCTCCAGCTCATCTCGTTCAGCAGCACACCCGTCACCTCACGTATTTGTCTTTTTCTCTTCTTTTGGGTGAGATTGTTTAAGTTCTACTCTCTTAGCAAGTTTCAGTTGTCCAATACAGGGTTAGGAACTGTAGTCACCGTGTTATACATTAGATCCTCAGATCTTAAACTTATCCTAGAGCTGAAAGCTTGTGCCCTCTTACCAGCCCCTCCCTGTTTCCCCACCCATGATTTGGTCCTACTCACTCTCTAGAACAGGGGATCCGCACACCGTGGCCTGTGGGCCAAGTCTAGCCTTTGCTTGTTATCATACAGCCCTCGAGAGCTGAACATGGTTGTTACAGTTTTAAAGGTTTGTAAAACAAAAAAGGGAAAAAAAGAATACAAGATGG